ATAAAAGCAGAATATTCCGAAAACAAATGCATCCTTTAACGATGACAGTACTGCTAATTCGGTAAACATGTTTACTTACAAGGCATGTCTGGAATGAAAGTACCATTTATAAAGTCTTGTGATTGGCAGTTATAACTTTCTCATATATTACTCACTGGTATCTTGAAGAAAAAACATAAAAGAGATAAATATAAATAGCTGTATGCCGAGGCGGATTTCTCCTATACTATTGTCTGAGGAGTTGTTCCATCTTTACATTTAATAAAAAAAAATCTCAATGCTATCTTTTATGAACATAATGCAGTAATGCAGTGTTACTTAATTTACTCGTCTAGATATGAATAAACGGATTTTTATAAAGATCAAAGCACAAATTGATATAAGGGAGAAAAAGAATTACCAACACACATAGCACAGTAAAACGTACCCCAATAATCGATTTAGCGCTCCACTTCTCCTCAAAAACGTGTTTTCTTTCGGCCAAATAAGCAACATTCGTAAGTATTTTTTTTTTCTTAAACAAATTAGTCGGTTAAATTTTTCGTTTTAAAAACACAAGAAAAAATGTTTCAGATCAAATTCAAGAGCATATATGTTGAATAAAAACTTCAAAAAGTTTATCATTATATTAAAAAAAAAACATTTCAACAATATATATAAATAATTCCGAACGATCAGCGTTAGATATTCACAAAAACCGAATTTGTGTATCCCGACTGAAGTTTTGCTTTTCATTGCAGAACATCACAGATAAAAATATACCAATGCCAATATTTATGATCACTAAGTAGTAATTCTCAGACAAATGTTTGCTATATAACTCGGTATAAATTTATATAAGAAAGACACATTCAGCAAGAAGTTTGTATGTGCTTCATGCAAAATGTGCAATCATGTCACCTAAAACTTAGAAATCCCGATTTCAAAGAACTTCAATTGCTACTAGAAAAATTTGAATCATATTGTAAAGTTTGGAAAATGAAAGTCAATGTAGATAAGACTAAAATCATGATTTGTTTGTAGTGGTAGACAACCTGTTAACCTTAAATTTAATTTTGGTAACTCTGACTTAGAAATTGTTAATGAGTTTAATTATCTTGGGATTTATTTTTCTAACAATGGCTCATTTAAAGCAAATAAGAAGCATTTCGCAGAAAAAGCTACGAGAGCCATGTATGAAGTTATCAAAAAAGGGAGAAAGCCTGGCTTATCAATAAGCTGTCAATTAGATAGATTTATTTGATATATTGGTTAAACCTGTTTTACTTTACGGCTGTGAAATTTGGGGATTTGGAAATAATGAAATATTAGAAAGAGTTCATTTGAAATTTTGTAAACTTCTTCTCCATCTAAAATCTTCCACCCCGAATTGTGTTATATATGGAGAATTAGGACGTTATCCTATAAGTTTAGATATCAAAGTTCGCATGATTTCATACTGGGCAAAGTTGATTTTTAGCAAACCCAGTAAATTATCAGCAATAGCATACAAATTAATGTTTAGTTTATCTCATGGAAATAATGTTAAATTTTATTGGATGAAATGTATAGAATCTATTCTTAATGAAACTGGTTTATCTTATGTATGGTAATTCAAACTTGTATAAATGAAAGGTGTCATCCTGGTTTGCCCACTTTTAATTACATGCATATATAAACATAGGGTGGATTGTTGTTTTAACAGTTATAGTTTATTTCTGAATTATAGTCATATTTTTCATCTTTTATTTTACCTGTAAAATTTTACCAAATACTATATTCTGCTATTAAATCAATGAAAATGTTTAAAAGTTTTAATATAGTTTTTATTAGGAAAATGTATTGAATTTGACAAAAATTCTAACAAAGAGATTAAAAATGCAACTGTTCAGTAGCCAAGCTTTACAAATAAATTTAATTTGAACAGTAATCTGCATCCAAGCTAGCATTTTCTTCTTAAAAAAACCCAACAGATTGTCATTTTATCATAGTGGGTAGGATTTTGAAAATAAATAACTCAGCCTAGATAATAAGAAAAAAATAATGGTTTGTCCTGTAGTAGTTTGAAAATAAATAAACTTACTTAAAATGTATGGAAAATAAATAACTCGGCAGGTCTTTTCAGCCATTTTATAAATGATATTCTAAAGTATGAATGGCCCCAGATTCTTCCAAAATTCGTCTTTTTTTTAATTTTTTTTAGGGAAAAACTTCCCAAATCTTTAAATAATATAATGTATAAATATTAATTAACTTGAATTAAATGTCTGAAAATGGGTTTCATTTAATTTAGGTATATTGTCTCAGGAACATTTACTTTATTCTCTTAGTGTTGCTTTCCATTTGTAATTTAGTAAAAAAAAATTTAACTTGACTTTTATTTTTTTAAAGATTTTTTATCTAAAAAAAATAGCAGCCACATCCATAAAACTATATGTGAACTACATGATTTTGCTTAATCCTACATATTGGTCTTTTGATGTCCCTAAAAACTAAAAGTCTTACACTGAAACTATATATTTTGCCTTGAGACCAAAAAAGTAATTAAAACTGTTTACAGAAATTGCATTTTTGATCAAGAAAGATTCTGGGAAATGCGCAGAATGCATGATTTGCATACATTTTTCTATAGCTTCTTCGGCCCCAAAACCCTGCGCACGAAATTTGTTTAGTTTTTTTTAATATACTTTATATTACTTTGAAAACAGGCTAGTGCCATTGTTTTACATGTATGTTAAATTATTGAGAGAAAAAATATATGATTTATTTATAATGTATCTATACATTTATGAAAATGGAATAACAAAATAAAAAATACCTGAATATATATCAAAAACACTGATAAACTATATACCTAAGTTGGAACAGACTATATAATTGTATGCTCATTAAACCTTTTGTCTTTTTTGTTTTCTTTACTAATAAATAACTGGTGTAATTAAAAGTGGGCAAACCAGGAGTAAACCAAATGAAATTTGGTTAAAGACTGTTGTTAGAACATCTCTCCAAGATCAATTTAAACAAACATGGTACTCAGATATTCAAACGAACCCGAAAACATTAAATTACCGCTTTTTCAAAGAACTTTTCGGATTCGAACAGTATTTAGATATTTTGGAACCCCGTGATATTTACACTCTATGTCAGTTTAGACTAATTAACCACAGATTACCTATAGAAAGTGGTACATGTAGATGGCAAAAAATTCAGAGAGATAAAAGAATATGCGAACTATGTGACTTAAAAGATCTTGGAGATGAATTCCACTATATAATGAAGTGTAAATTTATGGCTATAGAAAGACAAAAGTATATTGATAAAAAGTATATTGATTATCCAAATATAATTAAATTTAAGGAAGTTATGAATATGACAAAACAATCATATTTAAAAAAAGCTATGTTCATTTATAAGGCATATTAATTCATGTGTGTGTTCTCCTGGCTAAATTCAACTTCGATTTGTAAATAGTGTACATATTATGTTTTATTTTAATTTATAACTGTGCTATTTATTACATGTAACTTCTGTAAACCATTTTATTGACGAAGGTTTATCAGAATAAAGATATATAAAGAATTTTATGATACATCTTAATTGCCTGATTGTTGGTCAAGAACTGCGTTAGAATTTTATTTTAACTTATACATATATGTATGATAAGTTTTTGTATAAAATTTGTTTTTTAATTGAAGATTTTTTAAAGTTTTTTTTAAAATAATTTTAAAGTATTCAAGATTCACTGGAAAACAATTCAATGGTACTATAGATTCAAATGGTGAAATTTTGAAGGCTGCATTGCAGTCGACAATTCCATCACATAATTGTCATTATCTACTTTGTAATAGTCTTCCTTAAGAAATTCCAAATTGAAAAATTGTCATTCTTTCTATTTAATTGTTCTGGATGGACAGGTTTGAGAAATGAGAGTGAAAACCATTATAGTTGATAATGACGAATCTATTTCCTCAAGTTAATAGATCTGTAAGGAGTTTCATCAAGGACAAAAAAATGTGTTTCTGTAAGGAGTTTCATCAAGGACAAAAAATGTGTTGAGAGTGACCTGGAATTATACTGGTGTGACTTTCAAGACTCAGATTGCAAAAATGGAAATGTTTGTCGATAAATTTTACGTTAATCCTTTTCTCTTGTCAACCAAGCCTTGTCACGTACAAATAATTGATATTTTACTGAAAAGAGTAATTAATGGAGGTTATGTACTAATTTTAACATGTTTATATGCCCGGCCAAAGTCAAGAACTTCGTCAGTTGTTGTTGCTGCTTCTTGTGGTAGATTGTTTTCGGTTTGAATACAAAGAGTTATTGGGAAAAAGTCGTAACGTAAGGGATGTTGTTGACATTAAGCATCCGCAACTATTCCAATGTTCATCAGATATTGTCAGGTTAACTTTTACTTCTTATTGTTGTTGTTGAATTATTTTTGTCGTACATTCATGAGAAAACAGTTGGTTTTGCATATGTAATAATTACAGAGTTGCTTGTTATAAGTCAAAATCACTTTCCGTTTAAATTCGAGGAGCTAAGTCTATAGCCATCCTTTTCAAGTTAAGAGAACCATGTAAGCAATACTCACGTGTTTTACATCCAGAAGTAAATTTTGTTAAAAAAAAACTGTTTATCCGTATTTTACTTATAAATGGACTTTGTTTTTCTTCCAGTTAACATTACATACAGTCTGCAGTTAAAGTTTTTAAAACATTTATTAGATTCATAAACCATCCTGGATTTTTACCAAATTTAGATAGAAGCTTCTTACAATCAAAAGATAGTATCTAGTGGAAAATTTTTAATAATTTTTCCCCATTTTTGTTGAGCCTGCGACTAACAGCAAAAGTAGGCGAGACACTGGATTCCGCGGAACCCTTACGAATTTTTTAGGCTATAACCTATCAATATTAGATAATTAAATGGCGCTAGTATCAAATCTAGACTAGATGTAACAAACCATGGGTTTTGTCCTTTCTATAATCATACTACGGGTATGTATATTCTATTTGCAGATGGTCAAGAGGCAATCAGAAACCATGTATGGAGGAAGACAGATAATACTATGACCAACAAGAATGTAGCATAAAGACAAATCCAAAAATATCATACAGAAATGGAGGAAAACAGATAATACTATGACCAACAAGAATGTAGCACAAAGACAAGTCCACAAATATCATACAGAAATGGAGGAAAACATATAATACTTTGACCAACAAGAATATAGCACAAAGACAAGTCCACAAATATCGTACAGAAATTTAAAGATGGATTTAAATGAAACTCTCTTAGATTCATATTGTCATAATGTATTTCCTAGTTGATAAATGTAATTTTGTTTTGGTTTTTCCTTTTGGAAAATTAAAGTTTATAATTGTTTATGTCTTAATAAGATAATATTATATGAGAAACCGTATATACATTTGCGAGCATCTAGAACGTATTATATTTCCTACATCTTTTGCAACAAAATATCAAGAAATAACATACCGTGGTTGTCATTGCAGCGCTAGCGGTGGAGACAGATGTCACCATAATGATATGGACAAGTGCCGCTTCTTTATCACCAGATCTTCCCGTTTTAGAACGAAATTCAACAGTGTCAAATTAACACAACATTCACAGTGAATGGGACAAAAACATCAAAACCCACTGGCGAGTCCTTACTTATAAAAGTACTTTTAAACAAGATTATTCAATTTCAGAACTGTTCTCAACCCAAACATATATGTCTTAGCAAATCAAAGTTCACTTTAAAATTAATGGATTTTTCTTTGTTGATCGCAGATACAGTAAAGATAATTCCTCTTTGTAGTGTGCAAATTGAAGGAAAGTTTCTGAAAATAGCAAATTTATAAATTGAATTGCCCAGATTTAGCACTTTTCCTTTTAAATTTAATTATTTATTATTTATTCATTTGTAGAAATGTTCCTTAATCAAACAGATTTATTGTGTGATTATTTACAGTTAACGCATATATATTTTGTTTTAACAATATTGATTCAGTACCAATTGCAGTGGAAAATGCAATTACAGGTAGAATTTTACCTGACATTTTGTTTTTTGAATGATTCTATATTACGCTGAATTCCTACACGGCCGATCAGATTAGGCGAATAACAGGAAAATACGACGGAAATGTCAACTGTGAACAGATGGAAACGGAAAATCATTTGATTGACATGAAATTACCATGGCCATAATGGAAACTAGCAGGAATTTCCATTGTACAAATCTAATTAAGTGTTTATACAAACTATACATGTAATATAATCATATAATATGCATGCACAGTTTACTGATGTTAGTGAGTCTCAAGGTAGATGTATTCTACATATTGGAAACAGATTTTTTTCTCTTTTCAAAACTCATTCTCTGTGTGTTGTCAACTAAAATTCCCGCTAAAACTTATTCACTGATTTTCTATGAACAGTAATAAAATGTAGCATACTTAATCATTTTGACCAATATGATCCAGTGCTAAAAATACCCATGATACTATTATATTCTGAGAAATTAGGTTAAGGATATTAAACGAACGTTTAATTTACTCGTTTTTAATTTACTTTGTTATTCTGTAATAATTTATTTTCAAGCTTTTTTTATGGAATTCCAAATACAGTTTTATGATGTTTCATAATAGTGAACGATAAATTGGTTATGTAAATTGAATGACACACTTGAGAGATGGACATTTTATAGGTAATGTTTCAAACATAAAGATATGTTATTTTTCATCAATAGATGATTAATGTAAAAGGTTTTCTCTTTAAAAAGTGAATTTATTTTTTTTCCGTTTGAATGAGCAATGTAAAAAATGTCGACCAATGCACTTGAAAAATTTTTCATTTTGTAAATATAGTCTGCAGTAATTGCAACAACCCATGCAAATGTTCTACCCACATAACGTGACAACTTTACATAATGTCTTTAGAAAGTTAATGTTTACTTAAGGCTCTGGACGGGAAGAAAATAATTTTAAACTCGTGATACAAGACGGATACTAAATATTAAATATACCTTACAAAAACAGAATCGTACAGAATAAGTAGGAAAAATAAACATTAAATTTATAGTTAAAAATCTTAAGGTTTCAACTCCCATCAGGCAGAGTTGACCTTAGCTGGATTTGGCTATTTTTTTTTAGGTCTTAAGTCATATAGCTCTTCAACTGTTTCGGTTCTTATATAAATTTTGTCTTAGCTATGATTTTTAATATCGTCTTTGTTTACATTTACACAGGTCTTTGCGGTTATAAACTGATTATCTTTTTTTGAAGTTGTTTTGGTCTTGGGTTGGTGTTTTTTTCTTTCTTTTTTTCTTCTCACACAGAAACTGTTGCGATTATAGATTATTCAGAGAACGTGTTTATTGTATACAACTTCAGTATACGTATACACTTTACGATTCTTTCACAACGAAGATGTGTATACGCCAATTATACAGCAACCTTATGACACAAAAAATCTGTATGAAAGATAGTTCTAGGGGTCAACATACGGTATTCGGTTATTTTTGTAGTTTGGTTGTTGTTGCATTGTCGCATCACACACATATCATTTTATTCATATAAAACAATAGTCAAGTCTCTTTTCAATATGCCACGAGTCAAGAAAAGCTGTGAATAAAAAAGGCGGGAAATAAAAAAACACACAAAACAATACAAAAAACTGAAGACTGAGAAACATTTTATATTCAACATAGACTATATCGAATATACATAATGTAGTTGATTTTGCTACAGCTGAAGTGTAATTCTAGATATTTGTCAGGTTTATGTGAATGAAATAAGATATGAAATAATATCAAAAGGACATCAACCCAACGAAATGAGCAAATACATGATATAATGAACGCAACGGAATCTAAATTCGCTCTTAATTTCAATGAGTATGAGTAACATAGCTAGTGAAGGTCCCTTACATTCGAGTGACCATATTTCTAAAAATAAAGATCCGAGTTGTATATATTCAAGTATCGTGTAGGCGTTGTGAAGCTTTAAATATTAAAAGGACCTCATGCATAGGCTATATCAATAACTTCAATTAACTATTGAAGATTATGAATTACACGAGTAGAAATATTGAGACGCGATATATTTTAAATGGGATATATTTTCTTTTGTAGGGAATTCTTTAATTATTTTATCATCAATTAGTTGATATGAAACGTATTCACAGACGATATAAGCGGTACGCTAACGATGATTAGTTTCAGTTCAGAGTATTATTTTAACATCACTTTCATCCTTTATCAAAATAACTACATTCAAGATTCGATCAAGCTTTTATTTTTTAATTTTATAATTATGATTATTTCTCATTTTAAAAGTACAGTTCTTCTTTGAGAGGATTCCTATTAAAAAGTAATATTTAAATTAAGTCTGCAGCTTCCTTTTGATATAAGTTGTTCCCATTAAAGAAGACAATTAAAATACCTGAGGGTCGAGGAGAGCGTTCTTTCCAACTACTGCTAAAGCAAATATGTAACATGAATCATGTATATAAAAAAGAAGATGTGGTATGATTGCCAATGAGACAACTCTCCACAAGAGACCAAATGACACAGAAATTAACAACTATAGGTCACCATACGGCCTTCAACAATGAGCAAAGCCCATACCGCACAGTCCGCTATAAAAGGCCCCGAACTGACAATGTAAAACAATTCAAACGAGAAAAACTAACGACCTAATTCATGTACAAAAAATGAACTAAAACAAATATGTAACACATAAACAAACGACAACCACTGAATTAGAGGCTCCTGACTTGGGACAGGCACATACATACAGAATGTGGCGGGGTTAAACATGTTAGCGGGATCTCAACCCTCCCCCTAACCTGGGACAGTGGTGTAACAGTACAACATAAGAACGAACTGTAAAAATCAGTTGAAAGAGGCTTAACTCATCAGATGGATAAAAATACAAAAACATGTATGGTTATTTCAAAATATATTAGCAACAAATTGAAAAGAAAAGTTTTAACGCAAAACAAATCATCAGGGATACGTTACCTCATCTACATTTAGTAAATAACAAAGAGGTCATATTGGAAATTTTATAGAACGCGGCAACTACTCGCGGTACAATATGTAATAAAGAATCGTTTACAAAACATTAAGTAAGGCTGAAATAAAACAGAAAACTCCTTTTTTATGAACCTATTATATTAGGAATATATATAAAAAAAAATAATGCTCTGTAAATACAGTAAGATGTCAAAGTAATACCAAAAAGACTATGAAAGTCCTGATAATCTGAAAATCACTTACACGATGTAACTCAAACTGAAGTGACTGTCTGTCAAATACAAACATTGCTTTAATTTTACAATTGGATATTTTAAAGCTAAAAAACATGACCAATAAGTTAAGTTCGTACGGTAACGCCAATCATGAATTTAGAGTGTCTGGCAGATGATTTGAAAGGATTTTGAGATCACAGAATGTGTTTGATACTAGAAAATTTGGACTATATCAATAATTCTTCACGTCCTTGGTGGTGCACTATGATATCTTTGCAACTTAAGAGAAGCATAGTACCCCTTATCTTTTAGAGTACATACAATCTAAGACTCTTTCATCTTGCAATAGTATTAAAACATTTAACTTTTCTACACTTTACACAAGTATTCCCCATTCCAAACTAAAAGACAAATCGAAAGAGTTGGTCCTGCTTTGTTTCATAAAAAAGAATGGCCAACGTAGATACAAGTATCTGGTCTTAGGGAGGGATAAATCCTACTTTGTAAAAAATCACTCTGATTCTAACAAACAATTCTCTGAAACTGACATTATCAAGATGCTTGATTTCTTGATTGACAACATATTTGTAACATTTGGAGGACGAGTTTTTCAACAAACAATCGGCATTCCCATGGGAATCAACTGTGCCCCTCTTCTTGCCGACTTGTTCCTGTATTCATATGCGTCTGACTTCATACAGGAACTTCTTAGGAAGAAAGAAAAGAAGTTAGCAGTATCCCTTTACTTTACTTACTTTGTTCTCTCACAAAATAATTCAAAATTTGGTGACTATGTTGAACGCATCTATCGCATTGAACTTGAGATAAAGGATACAACAGATACAGTTAAGTCTGCCTCATATCTTGACTTACATTTAGAAATTGACAATGAGGGTCGGTTGAAAACAAAACTTTATGACAAAAGAGATGATTTCAGCTTCCCAATTGTGAACTTTCCATTTTTATGTAGCAACATTCCAGCAGCGCCTGCATACGGAGTATATATCTCCCAGTTGATACGATACTCCAGGGCTTGTATTTTCTATCATGACTTCCCTTGATATGAATGTGACCTACCGAATTAGACTTATTACCGGGTTTATACTAATATGAGCAACACGTCGGGTG